CCCCCAAAACCCCAAAACCCCAAAACCCCAAGTTTTAATATAATTATTGAAAACCTATTCAACATGAAATTGCTGAATGTTATCATCAGAGAAATCCTCATTTATTTAGAATTTGAAGATATTCAGAAGTAGGCATCTGCTCTAACTTTAGGTCCAAACTCCACTTGGTCAACAAACAGTTCTATCATAATATTATGTAAGCTATTGGATGTGCTAGGTTGGAACAGATTGTGTATTAGAGAACTTTTGATCGAGAGACACAACACCCTTTATAGAGAATTAGACATAAAATTTCACAATAGAGCTTTATTCCAGTGGAAATTTCTTTAAATATAGAGAAAGAATTTCTAACTATCATTGAGATTAGGTTTTTACCAGAATTATGACGACTTTATTTAGCGAAGACAATGAACTTCTTAGAAGAATGTTGCTTCAAAAAATTGGGTTAGTCATGGACTATGACAAAGAAGAACAGTACCACAGAGAGATAATCCTAAACAATAAGAATGAGCAAGCTGAAGAACCAATAATGTAATTTAGTCATCTTTGAATTCAGATATCTTTTTCCACTTTCACCCAAAGATATTGGCTAAAGCTCTGTCAGAAATTTAGTAGGAATCTCACAATTTGTATAGAGAAGAACTTACTGCAGTTAAGTTTTACGAAGATCCAAGAACCTCTCTGATTCCGGTGCTGCTTGAACTCCAGAAAGAGCAGGAGAGACTACTGCTGGTGTTTCAACGCACTAGTGGAGGCCACTATAAAGGCTATGATAAGGTTGAGAATGTATTTCTAGACAATGAAGGAATGGAGAATCAGTATTACTCAGCCCCTCAAGTATTCTTTCCGAACGGCCTTTGTTGAGTCACTGGGGCTGTCTATGGGACAGAGAGTAAAGAGCTTGAATATTGGCTGGATGCGATGAATATAATAGATTCCAATATCGATGTAAAGCTTACAAACTTTGTTGATGCTACACTTTTAAAAAATGACACATCCTCAGAAATTAATGGCTTAGATATAAAAGCTAGTACCACTATAATTATCAAGAATGCCTTTGAAAATTATTTGAATAAGCAAAATATTTATAATAAAGGATCTTATATTCCTCATAACAAAGCTGATGAATCAGCAAATGATGTTGCAAAATCATTCGTAAGATAGAGTTATAATTATTATAGAGTGAAAACCAGATCTACCAATACGATACATCTTGATATGATGAATTAATCATAAAACATTTGTTTTTAATCGAAGAAATTACGTAAGCATAAAGATTCAATTCTGAAGACTTCGTTCAGAGAACGCTCCATCAATTGTTAATAGACCTTGCACAGGTTTTAGATAATAATATGGCTTTATAATAGATTTTAAGCACATAAATACTACATTGAGCAATTTAAAATTCAAGTAAATTTAATTTTAACGTAATTAACTTTACAATAGTTGTCAATACTCTAATGCAGATAAACTAGTTGTTGTTATGATTATCAAAGTACAAATTTTCTAATTATCTTTTTCATTAGGAATATTTTATTTTAGATGAATGAAAGCTGTGATGTGCTTATCACCAATCAAAGCATTTGCTTTGTTTGTGCATGACACTCCAATGAATCCAGAAGACCATCCCTTGACTTTACTAATCAAGAAGGTTTACGATCTCTCTGAATGGACTACCAATGCTCCTATGATGAAACAAGATCAGACCATTGAAGGTATTTGTTATATTATGCCAAGAATAATTTTAATTGTGCATTCAAGTCCTAATTCTCGCATCCACTTGAATCTTCAATTTCATATGTAAATTTTCTTAGAATATGAAGAAGAAAAGAAACAAAATAAAGAGCCGAAACAAGCCTCAGTCTTCCAAGATTTCTTCAATCTTTTTCAAAACCTTACCGATGCTGGCTTAATTCCAAAAATAATTGACTCAGAAAGCAGATGGATGGAGTTTGATCAGAAGTTTTACTCCAGTAAATTCGATGCCAAGCAAAGTAAGTCTGTTATTAAATTATAGACAATGAGGAAGAGAAATTAGAGTTTTCAGAAGCAAGTCTCAGCGAAGAAGAAACTAATAAGATTGAAGAAATGTACCAAGAGTTAGATGAGTAAGTCAGAATTTTATCTAGCAAAGTACTTTGTTCATTAAGCTCTAGTGATAATATTTAGACATTTTGAAGAATAAAGTATTATGCTTTCGATTAAAATGAGAAGATTTCAATAAGATTTTGATAAATTGTATTTTATACTTGAATTTTTAATTTAACAAAACCGAAACTAATCTTACTTTAGAATGGATTATTACAGACTTAGATTGGTTGCTATTGGCTACGATTTACATGTAACTCTACTTTTTAATAAATAGACCAGAGAAAGTGCATACACCTATGCTTTAAAACAGCTGATTTCAGGAAGATTCATTACAGTTTTAGGTATATTTTATAACTCTTTTCTGATCAATAATTCTTTTAATCATTTGAAAATACAACTGGCGTATAGCTTTGGATGTTGCTGCAGATAGACCATCAACTCCTCATGTTGATATTGGAGGAATTCTTTTCAAAGGAAAAATGGTGCCAAGTATTCTCAAGTTCTTGGCATAAAACTTCACTCACCTACTGTTTTGCTTAAAAATTACATAGTTACTGAATGCCTATTTCCCACATTTTCAAGTTTGAATCTATATCTAACAATTAGGAGTCTACTAAAGTGTTGTCATGAGAGTATTTGTAAATGGTATATCTTTAATTATTATTTCATGGACCCAATATTAATTAACCATATTGGGGTTTTGGGGTTTTGGGGTTTTGGGGTTTTGGGG